TACTATGTTCATAGTTTTTTTATTTCCTTGTTATCTTGCCACTTTTGTGTCCCCCCTGCCCCGTGGCGAGTATTGCAGAAATAGAATGAAACTGCGCACTAGACTAGGGGGTGCAAGTGCTGATTTAGACAGTGTAGATTTTTAATATTTGAAAACAGTTGTATGTTGGGCAAGTTTAGGTAAGTGTCATTTGAATAGATTAGCAATAACAGATTGTTATGCATTATAATGATATGTATTTATATACTTTTAGTTGGAAGCGAATTAAGTTGGCATAGTGTTATACAGATTGTGTATATTTGGATATGTGTAGAAGTGTGGTATTATATATATATTCGAGTTTGGTGGGGTAAACAAATTATTTGTTGTAAAAATAATGTTTAATTAAATTTGGTCATGGAGGATTTATTACATATAAAAATTATATTTAATTAACGTTGGTCTGCTCTGGGTTGTCTCAGGTCGGGATGCACCGCAGGTGGGTTTATTAACTAATGACGGGGGTGTGTCTGGTGAGGACTTCTACACCCCGCCGCAGGTCCTCAAAGATGTGGAGTATGAAGGATCTTTGTGGGCTGGGACTGGACATGTGGACTGCCCGTTTCCCTAGATCAACACGCGGGGGATGCCCAAGGAACTCGTGTGGGTTGTCGGTTCATTAACACAACGGTAGATGGAGGATGTCAACAGTATTGGGTTGGGGAGCCTTCTAGGGTTGCGTATCAAGGAGTTACCACTTCGCCTTGGATATTGGTTGGTGTCTTGTTTCAACCCTTCGGTAATGGAGTTGGACTTGGGCGGTGGGAGATGCATCAAAATTACCAAGGAGGACGTTGCAGCTGTATTGGGACTCCCAAATGGTACAATACTCGTCACAGAGCGTGGTACACAAGTTGTAAGCCCTGACCTGTACCAATGGAGGGCCGAGGTGAAGCAACAAAGAGGGAGGGTCACAATTAAGGCATTGAGCACATTGCTGTTAGGTCTGAAAGAAGGTGGGGTTTGGTTTAAATGTCACTTTAGTGTGGTCGCTGTAAGCACTCTAGTTTCAAGCACCCCTAATGGCTATGTAAATCAGAAGATTGTGCACATGTTCAGCGACGTAACCAAGATCAAGGATTTGGATTTGTGCGGGTATCTGTTGCACTCGTTGGTTACCACACATGCTAGCTGGTTGGAGAACACCGCTCGCAAATTCACGGGACCATTGCTCTTTCTAACGGTAAGTGTTATTTTCTGATAGAACGTATGTGGGAATGTACGTTGTTAATTATTAGTTGGTAATGTGTGGGTAATCTGGTTGGTGCAGCTCTTATATGTCGATAGGGTGGTAGTCACCGCACAGGATGTGCCGAGGACAATCCCAGCGTTGGACGGGTGGACCACGGAGCATATTACAGCACGGGAGTGCCGAGAGGTTAGTTTAGGGGCGTTTGGGACTAGCCGGGTGGAAGCACCTTTGCGTGCATCAAGCTTTCCAACGACAATGGGGTCGGCCAGGACGAGGACATGGGTAGTCCAACCGAGAGGGCAACGGAACAACAGTATGCAGTCGGTGCACCCTGTGCCTGCGTTGGCGCATAAACAAGTATGCCAAGAATATTCTAGCCATCTAGCCATCAAGTTGTATTTTATGTTGGAAAACGGTTTCAAGATAGTTTAATTCCACGTTTGTTGTAGGGCTTTGACGAAGAGTTTGCATCCGTCACCGGAGACTTACTCTCAGTTGCTTCATTGGTGGTTGATCGGGTCGGTGCTGCAGTGGAGTTGTTGCTTGGGATAATTCACGAGCCCAATCCTAGGGAGACACCTCAACCCCCCACCCCGGCAGTGGTTGACCACGAGGAAGCGATGTGGCATGACCCTGAATTCTTCAGGGAGTTGGATCGTCTCGAGAAAGAGGCAATAGAGTCTATCGGGGGGGGGGGGGGGGGCGGGGGGGGGGGGGGGGGTTGATGCTCCTAGTTTTAGCCTAGGACTGACCCAAGAGCTGTCCACGCAGAATCTGGAAAAAAACAGGGCGCGGGCGCGAGGTGTTGGCACATCGTCTCCCCAGGTTTGTGACTAAACTTTCTAATTGTCGTGTGCTACTAGGTTACTTACGTGTATCATGAAATCCGGTGCAGGTACATCTACAGATGCAGCAGATGCAGCCATCCCCCCAATGTGTAGGCCCGGTGTGGGGGGATGTGGCTGTTTGCAAAGGGAGGGGTCCGATCGTTCAGGAGGAGTATCAGGTTTAGCATGGTTTTTAGCACCACTGACGGTTACCCTACCATTCCTCTTCCACCCGTGTATGTTGTTTGGCTGTGGGTGTTCAGCTGCCCGCACGGTGACAGGTAAGCGGGGTTCTTGGATCTGAATACTCGTTTTGTCATTTTGTTTGCGGTGGATGTGCTTGCCATGGGTAGGGTCTCATGTGCGGCATAATTGGTGCTAGGAATTCAAGGGGGTCAAATGTGTGTAAAATATATGCTGCGTGTAAATATAATTGTGATCTGTTGTGTGTAAAACACACTATAGGTTATCGCACTTGTAGATATCATAAAGTGCGCAAGTTAGAATGATGGACTGCAGCCACTCTTTTAGTTAGTTTCTAGGCTGTCATCATGTTTATTTCTTACTTTACAAGGATTTACGGAGTGAGTCAATTTGTGTTGCAATATTCAGTCAACTGAGCCCAACAAGATCTGTGTAGTGTTGATTCGTATGGGGCTCAATATGGCAGTGCAAGCTACGGTGTGCAGTAGAGACCACCATCAGGGTATTGCACTATTAGATGTCATAGAATGCACTATTTAGTATTGCAGGGTGCAACCATCATTTTTAAAAATACCAAGGCTCTTATCATACTGGATCCTAGTAGTGCTCTAATGTATTTGGCATGCTACAGAACCCATCAAGTATTATGTTGTGTCTAAAAATAAAAATGTGGACCAAGATTAAATAATTAAGTATATACTACTGCTTGTTTTTATTTTCCTGCTGTTATCCCAGTACCGTTTTAAATTTTTCTGCACAACAATAAATGCCATGAAGCAGTCAACTGCTATTTTTTTTTTTATTAACAATCTGGGTTATCTGTGTAGCAATGAGGTGCTCTTCCAACATATCAAGCGGAAAGCAAGATGGTCAGATTTCAAAACTTTGAGGGAAAGGACTAACGTGGCAAAGGTTGTAGTGGATGCATGGTGCAGCGTGCTCAATCTCCGCGAAAAAAACAAGCGGGATGATGAACCTTCCCGCATATTTTTCACGACTAGTACCACGGTGAGTATTTTAACCCCTATCTCATGAGCCCATTGCCCTGGTCAATGGTATAAACTACTGGAGTATAACATATCTTGTTGTAGATTGGCATCGTCGTTACCACTTCTGCCAGCCAAGATGAGAGAGTAAGATGGTTTACGAGGCATCTAGATGAGGAACTGAAGGCTACGAACCATGTAGAGATGGCGACTATAGATATGGTAATCGTCTAGAAACTTTAAAATAATGTTTGCACAACGATGTGTATCATGGAACACCGCGATAACTAACGCGATCGAGTTGCTATTGTATAGTTTATTTTCCCAATAATGCACAAGGGCCGGTATTACATGATGAGCATAAGTTTCAAGCACTCCAGGTTTGATATTATCGACAGCTCGTCCACGAACAGACCGAACCAAGAGTTGTATGGCAGTGCACCACAAGAGTTGGTACGTGATTAACTGAATGGCCTTTCTGAATTGGTGAAATTTAGCTTACCAAATTATTTTTTTTTTTGGGCAGATTGATTTACTGAGCACATACCTAGATAGCAAACAACAGACGCTTCGTGCATTCCGACTAGAAAGCATGAAACCAAAAAGGATGTAGATGGCATGGAGAGACACCACGTCTACCCTCGACTCTGCGGTGTTTACAATGCGACACATGGAGTCATACATTGGGCAAAGGTGCAGAGACTGGAACTGTGGGTTGCAGCGGGATAACAGCCAGAAACTCCTGGATCTACGCAAGCGTTTCATGCACAACATACTTATGTGCGGGGTCAATGAACACATGGTGGATATAGTCTCTCGTGTTGGCCAATATGATATCCAGGGGTTGGCACAACTCTAGCAATAGTTAGGGAGTACAACTGTTGCGTCATTAGTTAGTACAATTTTTATAAGCAACATTGCTGCATTTTTGGTTTGGTCACAATTGGTTTACACAGTATTGGGTGTTATTTAGCTAACTATTATGGGTGCAATAAGGATGTGGTTTGGTTCATCCTTTTTCTACTCACACGGGCTGGATTGTGTAGGGAGTAAGGGTTCATTTTTATTGTCAATCTAGTGGTGACTCAAGCCATACAAATGAAATAGTAAGGAGTGCTGAGTGATATGACCAAAGTGTCATAACACTAACATACATTAACCTCTAAAACAACCATATATCTATGCTATTAAAATCTTTCGATTATAATGACCCAACCAGATCACAAATTGTTGCCTTTTGGGGAACCAAATCGGAAATACATACATGCCTTACACCAAATTAGACAAGAGGTGACAAGCGGCTCACACAATAATAAGTTTATTAATATTCCCTTTGGGACATTCATAGTAACTTGAACCAGAATATCTTGGATTCCGTATCAATAAAAAACATCAACTTAAACTACTCCTAATGCCTCTTTGACAACGTTATATGTACTAGGTAAGGAGAACAAAATGAAATAACTCAAAACCAATTAAACTAAAATGGATCAAACATTGCATTGTACACTGGGCATTTTCAGTTGTCTGTGCAAAACCTGTGTGCACTGCGCAAGACAAATTAAGCTAAATCAACTAAGCTAGAATGCAACAAGCACTGCGTAAGACAAATTAAGCTAAATCAACTAAGCTAAAATGCAACAAGCACGAAGACAAAAAAATCAAATTTATGCTAGATCAACTAAGCTGAATCGTATTGGAAGGACAACTACGGGCATTATGTCGGCCGTACTCACCGCGCAGCCCACACTTTCAGCCAACTTTGGAACTGTTCTCTATGGCTATCTCTCGGCTGCTTTTAAGACGCTTCCCACTCCCTTTGTTCTTAGCTTGGGCCGGTGCTTTAATAGTTATGAATGCCGGTGGCTGTACCCCACATAACGCCTCGATCGCAGCACTGTTACCCTTTGCCGTCCCGGTGCTTGAACCGTCACTTGCAAATTCCACACTAAGCTCTTTCAATACCTACACCATTCGGGCTTGTCATGTTGTGCTCTCCCCCACTAGCCCTACGCATGTGTTTATCTCATACCACAATTCTGTTGCGTTTGTTTTGGGGGCGTGCCCGGTTGGGTGTGGCCCTCTACAGAAACCGCAACTCAGGTGTTTGCGCCAACGGTCTACGATGTACTGGGCTGATAACTGCTTGAGTTGTGCACTCTTGAACACCAAAAACATATTTCGGCAAATCAACCCCATTCGTTGGAACATCTTGCAGCTGCAAAAAGTACTACACCCATCCGGCGTGTAGCGTACGGTGTACTTGGCAGGGGAGTCATTTGTAATGTCGTAAAAAATGTCCCCACCAACCTCGCGAATACCCACAACTTGGCAATTGAAACATGCCGCTTCAATCTCTTCTTGCATATCGTAGAAAATAGCGAGTGTGAACAACTGTGCGGCGTTCCGCTCTAATGCCAAAGGAGTTTTAAACTCAGGCAAGTACCCCTCGCACTTGGTATCTAATTTCGTTTGATTATGGTGCTGAGTTTCAAGGACACTCTCAAATTGAATGTAGAACTGAACCAAACTGGAGCAGGGACGGGTGAATTTCCCATAAACGCTGTTCTGTGCCTCAGACCGGGATGTGGTGCGTACCAAACCACTCAATGGCAAATCAGAAAAAAACGCAGGAATCCAATGCTCTCTTTCTACAAACAATTTACGAAACCACCGGTGCTCAGTCAGGTTGTATTTCTCCATTAGCAATTGCCATTGTGCTTCGAAATCGCTGCTGGAGATTCGTTCGTTCCAGACAATATCATTCAAACTCTTGCGGAACACCTCATTCTGTGCTAATCCAGGCCCAACTTTTTCACTAACCTTTGTCATAATGTGCCACATATAGTAGCGGTGACGACACTCAGGTATAACCTGGTCTATAGCAATCTTCATAGCTGGGTCTTGGTCGGTGACAACACATAGTGGAGACCATGTCGTTGCACTGATGAGTCTCTCCAATAGCCAGCTATATGACTCCACATCCTCTCTAGTGATTAACCCGGCGGCGTAAGTAATGGAACGCTTGTGGTTGTCCACTCCAGTAAATGGCACAAACACCAAATTATATCTGCATTACGGAACAAAAATTAATAGTTCAGATATCCAAAAACAAAAAAAAAAACACATAACAAAAGGGGGGATAACACACCTGTTCGTGCTGTACGTGGCATCAAACGAGATCACATCACCATAACAAGAAAAACTACCCCTACCGATAGGGTCCGCCCAAAAGAGTCGTGAAAGTCGATTTTCTTCGTTGAGGTGGTAATCGAAAAAGAAACTGTCACAGAGTTTACGTTTTGTTTTCAACCGCTCGATAATCAGTTCACCGTCAACCACGTCAACATATTTTTGCAAGTCCCGCTTAAAATTGTGGAACTCCATCTCGGTTGCACCAACGTTCTCAAACGAACCGGCCACCTCCTTACATAACTTAAACCCGGCTGAAGAACCAACGTTTACCTTAACACAGTTTGCTAAAAATGCTTGTTGGGCCACATTAAGCTTCCGGTTACACCGCAAAAATAATTTAGCACCCTCCGAGCACAAACTATGGTTGTGTTCCTCGATAAATATAGACACCATAAACTCCCCGGTACTCACTCTCTTGAATCCCAGCTTAGCGCGACACCCCACTCTGTTAGAAATCCGTCTCCTTCGTTGCTTCTTGTTATCATTGCCGACACTAACTTCTAGTATGGGTTTGCTCTGGCCACCTCCTTTGGCTCCTTGTCTGCTACATACTAAATGACGGGAAATGATTTGATTATCACGATTTCGCTTAACATTATTGTACCTGATGTGGAATCCACCTGCTCGTCCGTAGGTCTTGTAGAATTTGATTCCTTCGTCTAGGGTGTTAAAACGCTGCTCGACGGTGGGCAACAAGTTAGCGTCAACATTCGGTATCCAATATTGTTTAAACGTAGTATTAATCCTCGTGCTGTGCGTTGCATCCCCGATGCCTGAATCACTTCTAAGTAACCCTACAGTTGGTGCACAATAACTGTGTTAATCAACATGCATTAAAGGTGGATAAAAATGCATTCTGTACATTTCGGGTTCGGCTAATAGCATGAAAAAAAAAAAGCACCAACATGCATGAACCATAGCAAAGCTTGAGGCATGTGTATGTGTGTAGATTATAAATGGTATTAAGGGGAGAATGCCTTGGGATGCAGTGATCCGAACAACAAAAACAGGGGGCAGAAGAAAAAAAAAAAAAACATGCATGAACCATAGCAAAGCTTGAGGCATGGGTATGTGTGTAGATTATAAATTATTGCCTTTTGTCTATTTTCACGCCTGCAAAGAACTATAGACGCACGCATACGGGCATTTAACTAACAGAAGAAAAAAAAAACACGGCAACCTCCGGAGCATACCTCGGCAGTTCACGGAAGGGATACGAAATCACAGCAAGATAAAAATAACAATACAAACATAAAATGAAAAGGGGGGGGGGGGGGGGGGAGTATGGAACCTGTATCCGCCGTCATTCCTGCCGCGGCAATCGCCGGAGGTGCTGCACCGTGCGTAGCCATTGTTCTGAAGTTGGGGAGGAGGTTGGGAGCGTAGAGACGTGTTAGCCGAGGAACTAATGTCGGTGAAAGGTTTCAATTGGTCTGAAGTTGGGGAAGATGTTGGTTCGTAGAGTTGTGATAGAGAGAAACTAACATAAGTGGTAGAATTCAAATCCTTCGCACCTGAGTGCACCGTAAGGGAATGTGCGCTTATTTGTGGGCTGTCAGATGCACAAAATCAATGCTCCAGATGAATGCGCAGAGTACACACTTTAAGAATGGAGTGCACCAGAAAATTAGCAAATATATATATATATATATATATATATATATATATATATATATATAGATAGAGAGAGAGAGAGAGAGAGAGAGAGAGAATTGCACTCAGGTGCGAATGAAGCCCCCATGAGGGAATATGCGAACGAATCAGTGCACGACACGTGTCCAGATTTAATAGATTAAAAAACACGCGGTGACATTTTCGTAAGTAATTGAACATCGAAGTGCAAGTAAAATGTATTACATGTGCATGTAAAATGTATTATAGGTGCAAGTAAAATTTACACTGAGCATCAATACTAAGTGCACCTATAGTTATAAGTAGTTGCATAGTTATAAGTAGGTTCACCTAGATGCATGAATGTTTGCGGGAAGTGAATGCTAACAAGGCAAAATTACATGCACTTATAGGTGAAGTAGGTGCACCTATAGTTATAAGTAGTTGCACCTATAGTTATAAGTAGGTGCACGTAGGTGCATGAATGTTTGCGGGAAGTGAATGTTAACGAGGCAAAATTACATGCACTTATAGGTGAAAGTAGGTGCACTTGTTAGTGATTTTACTTGCACTTTGATGTTCAATTATTTACGAAATGCCACCACATTTTTTTAATCTATTAGATCTGGACGCGCACTGATTCTTTCGCATATTCCCTCCTGAGCATTTATTCGCACCTAAGTACATCCCTATATATATATATATATATATATATATATATATATATATATATATATATATATAAAGAAACTAAATACGTCATAACAACATAATTAGTTGGACAGAGCGGGTGCCATTTCTATTCATTAAAATAAACAACACTGTTTTGGATCATGGTACAAAGTAAAATTTGCCGGGGTTAAATGAGTCAAGTTGGAGAAATCTCGGAACGTATGCTGTGCAACCGTGTGCACCATGCAAGGTGGGCACGGTTTCAATTCATAATTTCTATACTGTATATTCATAATTTCTATACTGTAGATTAATAAAATCTATACTGTAGATTCATAATTTCTAAACTGTAAATTCATAATTTAACTACAGTAGATTCATAATTTCCATACAGTAGATTCATAATCTCTGTTCTGCAGATTCATAATTTCTGTATTGTAGATTCATAATTTCTAAACTGTATAGTTATCAAATTATGAACATATAGTTTTGTGATTTGTGAATACAGAGTTCAACAATTGGGAATATGAACATCAAAAGTTATGAACATATAGCTCTATAATTATGAACATATATTTATAAAATTCTGAACATATAGCTCTATCACATGTTCACAAATCTAATACTGTAGATTCATAATTTCAATAGAATGTTTGAATGCGAAAGGAAACCGCCTAATGCCTTAACGGCAATGGAAAATATATATATATATATATATATATATATATATATATATATATATATATATATATATATATATATATATATATATATATATATATATATATAATTTGGAACGACATCGTTTTGCAACTTTGTACACCATGCATGGTGCACACAATTACACATCATAATTTGTCATGAGAGAAAATTTCAATTTTGGTCCACTGACTATTGGAGTTGTGTTAATTGCAACACTTGACTTTCAAAATTGTTAATTTAGTACCTTGACTATGCAATTTCTATCAATTTTGGTCACACCGGTCAAATTACCGGTCAAATCTCACCGAAAAAATTTAATAGGTCAAATAATGAAGGTATTTTAGTCATTTTACTCATCTTTTCTTTCTTCTCCACTGAGCTTTTCCATTTCCGACTACGTTCTTCTTCGATTCTCTTAAAACGGTCGGAAAAGGTCTTGAAAAGTCTCTCAATGAGCTTTCTATCTATGATGCTGTCATCAACAGCTAGAACATGGAACTGTGGCTCTACTGCTGCCATGCCCATATTCATAAGTTCTTCAAATTCCCAACACCAATATCAACAGCCAAGAAACAAGGGTGAAAAGAATTGATGAAACGTTGTGTTCTTTGGAGTGGTGAGGTGAAATGAGACGATAAAGAGAGAAGAGGAGCTCTCAGATTTGTATATTGTTCCAAGACCCACTAAATTCCACAACCTCCAAAGTAAGATCTATCCACTTCTCATCCAAAGATCTCAGATTTTCAAACGGATTTTGAATTGCAAGAGAAGCAAATGGGAAAGGAAATTAGGCAAGAAAGATAGTGAACAACTAGGCAATTAGGCATCCGAACGTGGAACCAAATTCCGGCCGTTTTAAGAGAATCATAGAATCCGAAAGAAAAGATGAGTAAAATGACTAAAATACCCTCATTATTTGACTTATTAAATTTTTCTGGTGAGATTTGACTGGTAATTTGGCCGGCGTGACCAAAATTGATAGAAATTACATAGTCAAGGTACTAAATTAACATTTTTGAAAGTCAAGTGTTGCAATTAACACAACTCCAATAGTCAGTGGACCAAAATTGAAATTTTCACTTTGTCATGATATCTCCAAACTCACCCGTCTAAAATCAGAGTTAAACATGTCTAAACCGGCGGGTTGAGACATTTTTGACAGCTCTAGACTCTAGAATGTGATTAGAATATTTTCACTCTACATCAAACCAATTTCGGCTATTGCCACATCATCATCAATTCATCATCATCCACTTATTTAAATAATATATTAAAGAAAGAAAAGAAAAAATAAAATAGAAAGAGAAGGCCGGGTAGACGTCTACACTTTTGAATCGCGTGCATAACACGCACTTGTTAAGTGCAACGTGCCTTGTATTTTCGTTCAATATCTTTAAACTTATCATTAATTTTAATTATAATATTAATAAAGATATATGAAGTTGAAGTTTCGTGTAGCATTGAAAATTTGTTTCAATGTCTAAATGTAAAAATATTTTATCATTCCATTGATCTTATTGTAATTTTTTTCATCGTATAATTAATGAATTAGCTCTTTTATTAAAAAAAAAAAAAAAAAAAAAAAAAAAAAAAAAAAAAAAAAAAAAAACGTACCAAAGACCTTGTGTTTCAATGGTACCAAGGTGCTGGGTTTGGAGGATTACATTTACATCCCCTTCCCTTATAATAATAATAAAAAAAAAAAAAAAGACATTCCAATCACCAACTTCAAAACTAGAATATCTTATCCTAACAAACTAGCAGCTTAGAAAAAAAAATTCTCACCATATATAGCATAAATTGGCAAGCAATACAGCACGGCTAAGCCAATGCAAATGTCTTTCCTTCATAATTTGTGACACCTTCCAACCCATAATATATATTCCACTCTCGTGCATCACCATTTAGCCCATTTCAACTCCATCAATACCATCAGAGCACTGTGCTAAGATTATCCTTGGAGCTATGGTGGTTTTGCCCCAACAAATTCTTGAAAACCTATCTCAGGTCAAAGCATGCAACCCTACTACTTCGGCTGCCACCGTTATTCCGGTGATAGACCTGTTGGATCCCACGGCCAGAGACCAGATAGTAAAGGCCTGCTATGAGTTCGGATTCTTTAAGGTTGTCAACCATGGTGTCCCCTTGGAAGCCATGACAAAATTAGACGAAGAAGCTGTGAAGTTCTTCAACTTGCCTCAGCTTGAAAAGGAACAAGTTGGCCATCCCAACCCCTTTGGCTATGGCCACAAGAAAATCGGCCCTAATGGTGATGTGGGTTGGGTTGAATACCTTTTCCTCTCCACCCACAACTCCATCACCATTCCTGGCAACTCTCAACTTTTCAGGTAATTAACAAATCTTTCTTAAACTATCTTAGCTTCATTTATTTAATTTATAGAAATATTTGTTGGGCGGAGGCCCGTAAAGGCCAAGTTCAGCACTATCGTCTCGAAAATATGTGGGTGTATATGAAAATAAAGTTGGTAATTCGCTAATAGCAGCTATACCTTTTGACTTAGTTGTAAGTGTTTGATACTAAAATTGATTATGCAAATTGCATAAATAGGTGCCTTGTGAAGGAGTATGTTGGGGCTGTGAGAAACACTGCGTGTGAGGTTTTGGAGATGATAGCTGAGGGGTTGAAGATTGAGCCAAAGGATGTGTTAAGCAGGCTAATAAGGGATGAGAACAGTGATTGTTGGTTTAGGTTAAACCATTATCCGCCATGCCCGGAGCTCCAAACTGCAGGAGGGATAATGAACGGTGGAGATCTGATTGGGTTTGGAGAGCATACAGACCCACAAGTGATCTCTGTTGTGAGATCAAACAACACATCAGGACTGCAAATCTCAGTTGGAGATGGGACATGGCTTTCTGTCCCACCTGATCACCACTCCCTTTTCATCAACGTTGGTGATTCTTTGCAGGTATGCAATTTTTTTTTTCTTTTTTTTTTTTTTAGTTTCAGAAGAACCAAACAATTTTTATTTATTTATTTATTTTTTTAAAAAAGGAAATCTTGCTTATCATTCTTTTTCACTTCAACAGGAAATATTCTTTTCCTTGATAATATGCTATATTAAGGATATTCAATTTACAACAAATTATTATTCCTTGTTAGATTTGGGAAACACACCAGTTGTCCTATCTATAACCATACTACCATTATGACATTATCCCTAATTTGTGATATTGAGTATTTCAAATTTTATGAATAATGCATCTAACTTATTGCTAAGTATGTTATGAAAATTGACAATATCATTGCCAATTAACACTACAAAAATACACTCATATATATATTAGAGATCATATGAGAACCAATCTCCCCATGTGTCTATAAAAATCAATTTAATCCATTAAA